ATGACAAAAGATTTTAAGACGTAATGATTAAAATCATAATGATAAAACGTAAATACAAGTGCAGTCCTTTAAGAGGTCTTTATTTCAGCAATATTATATTATCTGCAAGTACAGCATTTTAAAATATACACATTCAATACACTTCTTTTCACAAGGGACGTGGACGAGGCCACACAGATCTCTCTCTCTGCATTAGTCTCTGAATCTGTGTGGGCATGTTCACAGCTGATGTCTCTAACTCAGGACAGAGGAGCAAACGGCACACGGTTTCGGCTGGAAACTTCTACAGTTCACCGATATTGTACTCCGCCACTCGAGCTGAACACAGTCGAGTGAAGCCATTTCTCATGAAATCTCAAATCTACCAGTTTATGTAACCATTTCGATCAAGACTCGTAATAAGAGCTCAGTCATGATGAGGGCTGGCACATCTCCTAAACATCTTCTCACTGTTACAGTGTTGCGTCTCTGAAACATTCGTCCAGGTCTGGCTGGTAACACTCGTCTGGAAGCAGGAGCGGGATTGGCTGGTTATCAGCCAACCGTTGAGCGACATTTACTCGCTTAGCAACTGGACGTGTAGCATTTACTGCCGAGTTATCTTTGCACATAGTTGGGCTTTTGTGAGTGTGTGTGTGTTCGCTCTTATGAGCCAGCAGTCCCTCACTGCTTTTGATGTTGCACACTGTGTCTTACTGTCCTCATACAGCGTTAGCCGCGAGTAAGCTTTTGTTGAGTTAAAGGGATAGTTCACTTTGAAATAAATTTTTGGTATGTTTTAGCTTACCTCAAGGGCATCATAGATGTAGGTGTCTTTGTTTCCACAGTAGTTTCAATTGTGATATTTTTAGGTCAAACCGTTCTTGTCTGTCAGTGATATAATGCAGGTCTATGGTCACCACCTCAAAGAGCATGCACAGAGAAGTCCAAATTAAACATGATTTAATGACTCGTAAATGTAAGTACACATTGATGGCCTAAGACACGAAACGAGCGGTTTGTGTGAGAAAACGAACAGTATTTATATCGTTTTTACCTCTTGTAACCACAGCCACGTCCAAGTGATCTGAGGGCGCCGGCGCTTCGGTCTTTTCCGGAAAGTACCGGAAGTGAAACCTCACGCGTGTACGTCACTCATACAATTGTTTGTTTTTTTTGTTTTTTGTTTTTACGACGGTTTAAACATCCCGGATAAGCGCAAATTAGTACCCTTTTAATTAGCCGTCTTACCTACAATCTCTGTTCTGTGTAAACAATGAGTGACGTACACGCGCGAGGTTTCACTTCCGGCGCTTTCCGGAAAAGACCGAAGCGCCGGCGCCCTCAGATCACTTGGACGTGGCTGTGTTTACAAGAGGTAAAAACGATATAAATACTGTTCGTTAAGCAGGATTGGAGGTTTCCCAGAACCAGCATGTCCAGTCCAGCCCTCACAGGACCTGATTGAGACAGCAGCAGCGTTATAATGCGACTACTGTGCAATTATGGAGAACACCTGAAGCTGTTATGATGGACTTAATAACAGAGGAAACGAGAGATGATTTAATAAATCAGAGATGAAGGAATAACAATCATGTTTACAGGATAAAGTCTATGGGGAACGTAGCAACCCCGAGGGTTAAATATAACTCATATGTGTGGCATTTGATCTGTACATTTGTCTAAATTGTCATTTAGTGTTGTTGAAGACAGATGTGAATACACACACACCATTCAGAAGTTTAGGGGAATGTGTTTCAGTGTTTTGGAAGAAGTCTCTTCTGCTCAGCAAGACTGCATTTATTTGACCAGAAACACATGGAAATAATGTGAAATATTATTACAATTTAAAATAGCTGTATTCTATGTGAATATAAAGTTTATTCTGAATGTTCGGCATCATTACTCCAGTCTTCAGTGTCACATGATCCTTCACAAATCACTGTAATATGATGATTTGATGCTCAAGAAACAATGTTGAAATCCATAATTTGTCATATTTTTTGGCAGAAAACACGATTCAGAATTTTTTTAACATATTTTCTGTGATAATCAACAGCAATGTTATATATGATGATGAATGCTCCTCCGTGTCAGCGCAGTCGCTGGAGTTCCCGGGGTCAAGAGGTCAACCTGAACTGGTTGCTAGGCAAACGGTTTGGGAGGAGGTAAACAATCCCATGTCAGTTGCTTTGACTTTCCAAGAAAGAAGAAACAACGAGTTTAACACAAAGATAAAAGGTCACCAGTTGTCTTAACCTGTGATAGATGTTCCACCAGGTCAAAGTTTCACAAAGAGTTTGGTTTTATTTAGATCCTATGACAAAAGCAGGACTATGTTTTTTAAACGCACTTTGTCTTGGATGTCGTTCATCTCTCGCTGTGTGTGTGAGCGTTCAGTGGACTCAGGTCAGAGACACACTCCTCTATGAGTTCTGCTTTCTGCTGCAGTGCTGGGTCTTACGCAAGCGGCGCTGTGACTCATCCATCTTAACCTTCCTCAAGGTCAAGCTTCTCCAAACTCACAGTGACATTGAGCTCCTCAGAAGCTTTAAATGAAGAGGTGAAGCTCTGTGGTTATTACTGTACGTGCGCTATATTCAGATGTGTAGGGGCTCAAGCCGTCTCTATATGACTCTCAGATTATACAAATATATGTTTTTCTTACACACACCTATCATTCTTCTACACGTACATCCGGGAATGCTGTGTGTGTGAGTGAAAGATGAGAGAGTTCTCAGTTTTGTTTCTTTCATTATTAAAATAATGACAATAAGTTCCCAGGACCCTTATGAACGGCGACTGTTATATGTAAATTGCTGTTATATTAATAAGACAGCATTGTGTGGACACATACTGTATGTACACATCGTCTACATAATCAGGGTTGGTTCTAGGATTTGATCCTCACTGACGGTCTGGAGCGAGAGAGCATTGTCTCTTTAAATCGACACCACTATATTACTAGTCAAAAGTAGCCTACCAGTGGTAACAAGTCAACACAAGAAGTGTGGTTGCACTTTATTTTACAGTATGTGTATTTACAGTGTACTTTAGAAAGTACTGGGTAATGTAAGGTAATGGGTTAAGGCTAGATTTAGATGTAGTTTCAGGTTATTATAATTAATATAATAAGTGCATAGTATGTGCGTGCGGAAAAGGCAGCCCGATCTCACGGCAATTCGTACGAATTTTACGAGGTGGCTAATTCGTACTAATTCATACGACCTCACTCGTACAAATTCGTACGATTTTTGCTAATTCGTACATATTTTACGAGTTACCAAATTCGTATAAATTCGTACGAATGACCTACCCCTGACCCCGCCCCTAAACCTACCCATCACGTGGGTTTAGACAAATCGTACAAATTCGTACGAGTGAGGTCGTATGAATTAGTACGAAGAATTAGCCACCTTTTAATCACTCGTACGAATTGGTCGTGAGATAGCGTGGAAAAGGACAGTAAAATAAAGTTCTACTAAAAGTTGAATGAATGATATAATTATAATATTTTTGCAGTTAGAAAACTGTCATCATATTATTATTATTAACAGGTATTCCTACTCCTAACACTCACTGGTCCTGCCTTTTTGACCTAAGTTAACTTACCATACCAACATTTTAGTTACCAGTGAAATCTCACGATTTCTCGATTCCAGTTTACGATCACAGCAAAACCTAATACTATCCTAACTAATATAACTTTCGGTAACACTTTATTTCGATAGTCCACTTTAGACATTCTACTAACTATAAATAACTTTGCAGCTACATGTCAACTAACTGTCATTAGAGGATTAGTAGACTGTCTGTTTAATATTTGCTAACACTTTATTTTGTTGGTCCCACAACAGACACTCTACTGACTATAAGTAACTTGGCAACTACGTCAACTTATTCCCCCAACCCGAACCCTAACACCTAACCATAACCTAACAGTCTATTGACAGTTTACTATAGCCTACTAATGAGAGTTAGTTGACATTTAGTTGAAAAGTTACTTATAGTTAGTAGAATGTCTAAAGTGGACTATCGAAATAAAGTGTAACCTAACTTTCAAACAGTCAATAATAAAATAAGAACAAATAATCACATTCAAGCAATAGCACACTCTAAAAAATGCTGGGTTGTTTCACCCCAATTTTGGGTCAAATATGGACAAACCCAGCCATTGGGTTACATTTTTGTAATTACATTTTTAACCCAACGTTTGGGTTAGTCCGTATTTGACCCAAAATTGGGTTAAAACAACCCGCCAGAATTTTTTAGAGTGCATAAATTAATACAAGAAAATATAAAATTATACAAACAGTGCTTGTGAAAGCTGTAACTGTACACAGTAAATACGTATTACATGAATGAGGCTGCTGTCACTTTAAGAGCAGATGGTCCTCTGGGAGACGACAGATCGCCCCCTATAATGGGTCTCGAACCACCCCTGTACACAATAAATAAATCATATGTACAATTGTTATCATATTTATTTCTTTATATGCCAGTTTTGAAGTAATTCATAGCGGTGAGAAGTTCTCAATGGAACGCCTCAGCTGCAACTCTACTCTGGTAGATGTAATGTAAGAGTTGTGTGTCTGTCGTGTTTGATGAAGTATTGTGGTATCTCAGCACTGGATCCCCATGAGAGCTCAGATGTGGTGTAAAGGACCCATTGATCTTGAGGTGTTGGGTTACCCGGATAGCAGAGAAGTCTGAAGTCGAGAGAGGATTTATGTTGCCATCTAAATGTGCTGAAACTGAGTAGTGTCACTTATTACCAGTGCATTACTCACACTAAGATTATTTGTTTCTGTGGGCCCAGAACAGGATTCACTGCACAGTGTAGTGACCTTGATTCTGTAATGCTGGGTTTGCAGGTTCTTCAACTGTCTTCCTGCGTTCCCTTTACGCCACAGTTAGCTTGCGTATGGGGAACATGTCACGCATGGAAACTGCAGCGATGCCTGTGTGTGTGTGTGTGTGAGATGGTAACGCTGTGGTCTCTGTTGTGTGCAGGTGTAGACCCGTCTCTGCAGATAGACCACAGGATCCACACGGCGTCACAGGTGGCTCCTCCGGGCTCCAAGCAGAACAAGCCCCGCGTGGCCAACTCACGGGATGAGCGCTTCAGATCAGGCACGAGCTCTCCTCTGCTAAACCAGCACTCAGACACTCACATCGGGATGCTTGCAACAAACAACTGCACTTTATCACACTTGTATTTTTTATTTTACCAGATGATGTCCCATCGAGATATTCAAATCTCTTTTACAAGGCAACAATTACACAAGTTACACAGAATCACATAAACAAACACAACAAACAAAACAGATTTACAGTACATGTAAAACAAGTTTATAAAAGAGTACTTCGGAAAATAAAGCAATATGGAAAATAATATACTTTATAAGAATATTCGTACGTACGTGTGAACTGAATGTAATGTTTTCTTTCACTTAATTGCATGATACATTTCATTTAAATGAAACTCTAGTTTAAATTTATATGAAATGCAATCAGCTGATCTTTAGTGTTTTTGACCCCCTTTAGTTGAGTACATCTTTATATGCAATTTCATAATTCTACTGTCTTTGAAATATGGTTAAAGTCACTACTGAATGTACTGACAAGCATTTATGATCAACTAACATTTCTATTTAAACTTGTTTGTCAAGTTTATTTGTAATTACACATTTATAATGAAGCTGTAGTTTAGCACATTTATAATATATTAGCTATAAATGTAATGTTGAATAACACACTACAGTTAAAATGATAATCAAGTACTTTACATGTGCTTTAGTATGTTAGTCAGCACATTAAAATAAGTTTAAAGCACGACAAAAGACTATTAAAACAATGATTTAAAATGTACTTTAAAGTAAAACTTTTCACTTTAACACTATTATGAAGAAAGTGCACAAAGCGTCCCTCTTTAAGTGCACTCACTGTACGTGGCCTTTGAACTCATTAACATTATCTGACTGCAAGTATATATTTTTTTAAATATACTTTTATGATTTGAAGTAAACTATAAGTAAACATTCAATACAGCTTAGTGCACTTCTTTTTCACAGGGTTCAGGATCACTATTGTGTGTTTCATTATTACTGATGAACTTTTGCATGTAAATTAATATGAATGATACATCAAATCATGTGACTTAAGCAAGCAGAGGTGTTTGTTCTTTTCCAAGAGATCGACCTTACATTGTTCCTTTGTTTCGAACCAAAAGGCTAAGAACATCAAAGCACAATATAATATAATAATATACTCTGTAATATTATTCAGGTCCCTTGCGAGAAGGTTATTATTGTAAGTGTTAGTTTACTTTATTATTATTATTACCGAATGGTTGTCTATGGTAGCCCTATGAACAGAACATGGGAAAATGAGGAAAATTGGCACACTTGTAGTGATGGTAATGAATATTAATCTGACCAAATTTGGGGTTGTCACGATGTCACCCTGCTTTGGACTCAGTTGCACCATTTCCCGACACTAGTTTGTCGTCATAGTCACTAATTTGATTTGCCATCACTGCCAGCTGTGTTAACGTTAATCACCTCATTTGTCTGTCTATTTAAGTCCTATGTTTTCAGGTCACCCCTGTCCGGTCTCGTTTATGTATGGTTGTGTTTGCTTGCTGTTCTTCATGTGGATTTACCCTGTTCATATTATTGAATACAGTTTGAACCTTTATCTTCATCTTCGTGCCTTTTTATGCAGCACAACCGTGACAGAAGACCGGAACAAAAAGTGATATAGACTGGGGCGTGTTTTTGATTTGTTTTGTATCAGTGTTTTTTATGTAAGTTATTTTTCCCTCATTATCATGGACTCTCGCTCGTTCCTGTTAATCTGCCCTGAGCAGGGAAATCGCTCCCTCGAGGCACATGTGACAGAATTCCTCGCACATCAGTCGAGCTTCCCGGACAACTGCCTTTGTTCCTTCCTCTATGTTGGACCCAACGCATTGACAAAGGCACAGTTGTCCGGGAGGGACCTCGAGGGAGCTTCGCCGCATATGTGGAGTGGGTGCTGGCATCATGTGGATTGTCTTTCACTGTCAGATTCGATGACACCATTCCCACTCCTAATCCAGTCTCCAGCCAGGAACCTCCAGACAGAGAAGGAGCCAGCAATACATTTCGCTGAGCGAAACATCGCCGTGGAGCCGGAGCACAGCGAGTCTGACCAGGTGTGCGAGCCGGCTGCATGATCCCACGCAGAGGGAGTTTGTGATGAGTGTGAGGGTGTATTAAGGAGCTCCACCCACACTCCCAGCACTCTGAACTATTGCTTTGAGTTTGGAGAGGAAGAACACCAACCCCTTTAATCCCTCCAGAGCCTGTCTGCTTTTTTTTGGATGAGTTTGTTCCGCCTCCTCTCCAGACTTATTACCAGGATTGTTTGTTTTCCGCCAATCCCTCTGTTCATCATCAGTCCCTTCTCCAGCCCTCAGCCACACCTGCTACCCATCCCTCACTGTCTCCCATCAGTCCCTCAGTTCCTCATCAGCCTCCTCTCAGTGGCGCAGCTACACCTGTGTGTGAGTCAGCTTCTCGTGGGCGTGGAGATCCCGTTGCTCCGTCCCCGGCCTCAGGTCCCGTTGTTCCACCTCGGCTCATCGTCCTGACTCCTTCGCCTTCGATCCCTCCTCCCTCAACTCCAACAGCGACCGTCGAGCTTTCGGCTCCACTGGCCTCCCCCAGACCATCGGCTCCCCCTGGCTCAGACATCGGCATCACATCACTACGGACTTGCGGGCCGTTCGCTACACTCCGGCCCTCCACCCCTACGCCTCTGTTTGGCTCCGGGTTAGGGCAAGCTACGCCTCCGCCCTCAGTCGTTCCAGCTCCACCTCAGCCCTCTGGTACCCTATTTCCATCTCGGTGGGGTCGTCGCTGCAGCTCCGTCGTGGACTCGGGGGCCTCAGCATCACTCCGCTCCTTCGACTCTCTGTCTTCACCTAGGGATCCACCTCCATCAGCTCTGTTACCTCCACTCTTCCCCAGGGTAGCGTGGAGACCTTCACCCCCTTGGCTCCTCCCTCCAGTAACGCCACCGTGGGATGCCATCGTGGCTGTGGCCTGGAGCTTCATCAGGCAACCCCTGCTCAAGGCCACCCCCTGGATGACACCGCCATCTTCACCTACCTGGTCTTCTCTGCCTGTCCGTCTACCTGCTCCTCTTACCAGCCCTTCTTCTGCTCCTCTTACGGCCCTTCTTCTGCTCCTCTTACCACCCCTTCTTCTGCTCCTCTTACCAGCCCTTCTTCTGCTCCTCTTACCAGCCCTTCTTCTGCTCCTCTTACCAGCCCTTCTTCTGCTCCTCTTACCAGCCCTTCTTCTGCTCCTCTTACCAGCCCTTCTTCTGCTCCTCTTACCAGCCCTTCTTCTGTTCCTCTTAACAGCCCTTCTTCTGCTCCTCTTACCAGCCCTTCTTCTGCTCCTCTTAACAGCCCTTCTTCTGCTCCTCTTACCAGCCCTTCTTCTGCTCCTCTTACCAGCCCTCTGCTCCTCTTACCAGCCCTTCTTCTGCTCCTCTTACCAGCCCTTCTTCTGCTCCTCTTACCAGCCCTTCTTCTGCTCCTCTTACCAGCCCTTCTTCTGCTCCTCTTACCAGCCCTTCTTCTGCTCCTCTTCCAGCCCTTCTTCTGCTCCTCTTACCAGCCCTTCTTCTGCTCCTCTTACCAGCCCTTCTTCTGCTCCTCTTACCAGCCCTTCTTCTGCTCCTCTTCCAGCCCTTCTTCTGCTCCTCTTCCAGCCCTTCTTCTGCTCCTCTTCCAGCCCTTCTTCTGCTCCTCTTACCAGCCCTTCTTCTGCTCCTCTTCCAGCCCTTCTTCTGCTCCTCTTCCAGCCCTTCTTCTGCTCCTCTTACCAGCCCTCTGTTCCTCTTACCAGCCCTTCTTCTGCTCCTCTTACCAGCCCTCTGCTCCTCTTACCAGCCCTTCTTCTGCTCCTCTTACCAGCCCTTCTTCTGCTCCTCTTACGGCCCTTCTTCTGCTCCTCTTACCAGCCCTTCTTCTGCTCCTCTTACCACCCCTTCTTCTGCTCCTCTTACAAGCCCTTCTTCTGCTCCTCTTACCAGCCCTTCTTCTGCTCCTCTTACCAGCCCTTCTTCTGCTCCAAATCCCCCTCCCTCCCTCCCTCCTTCACCTCTTCTTCAGCGCTAGATTGCTCCTTCCGGGAGGGGGGCGTTATGACTTGATGTCACCCTGTTTTGGACTCAGTTGCACCATTTCCCGCCACTAGTTTGTCGTCATAGTCACTAATTTAATTTGTCATCACTGCCAGCTGTGTTATCGTTAATCACCTCATTTGTCTGTTTTTAAGTCCTGTGTTTTCAGTTCACTCTTGTCCGTTCTCGTTTACATATGGTTGTGTTTGCTTGCTGTTCTTCGTATGGAGTTTACCCTGTGGATATTATTAAATACTGTTTAAACCTTTATCTTCGTGCCTTTATATGCAGCACAGCCGTGACAGGGGTCTCTAACTCTCCTCAGCAGCCTAGTGAAACAGCATCAACTGAGTGGCGCAACTTGCTAAGCCACAAGCCCCGAACCTTTCAGGTCGTGGGTTTGAATCCTGTGTGGCAAATGCCCAGACCGCAAGAGGTACTGTGGCCAGAAATCGTGCAAGAAGCTGCATCTTCTGTTCCAGACTCTCACTCTTTCTGAGAGTGATCTGATGATCATGCTTTGATGTAATTGTTATGCTTGTTGTACATGCTGAATTTACTCTGCTTGCGGTGACTTCGGTGCTTCGTTACGTGCAGTAAATGTGATGTCTTACGGTAGTTTTCTATCTCATCTAATGTTGCCGCTATCTGTGTCCCCACAGACCTTCATACAGAAGCAGTACAAGCAGCCTTGTCAAAGTATAAAGAGAGAAAGATGCCGATGCCCTCGAAGAGACGCTCTGTTCTAGTGCAGTCCTCAGTTGAAGCATGCACTCCTCCAGGTAAAACACACACACACACACACATATGTATACATGGTATAGTGCTGGTCTAACTGGTGAAGCATGAATATTTAAATCTTCATAATCATGATGGTCTCAAGGAAAACTGAGCTGGTTTGCAGGCCGTGCGGTTGACCAGCATCCAGCCTTCCCTGTTGATCCCAGCATGAAGAACACACCTTATGCTGGTGACCAGCAATGCTGGGTTTTTCAGCAGGGGATGTTTTGATCTTCTGAGTCTTGAGAGAACAATGCATAGTTTTCTGAATAATAGCCTCATTATTTACTCGAAGCAAACTGCTCCTGACCACTCAGTTCCCAGACCACCTTCCCACACGCATGCATATGGAGATGTTTAACAGAGCTCCAGCTTTATTGACCCACTGGGTGCATATTTAGCTATTTGAGTATTGCATTTAGTTTAACACACAATATTTAGCTAATACAAAATGGATCTTACCTTATTTTGGGGTATAAGAGACTGACAACATCTTTTTTCATAGCTCATGTGACTTTGAATCTTTTAAGTGTTAACTGAATTCCTTAGGAGAAATAAAAAAGATGCACTTGTTGACATACTGTACAGTAACAGTACAGAAAGGTATTTCATTTGGTTCAGTTTTCAACGGTTTAGTTCCATTTTGTTGCAAAATGTTTGAGTTCACATTGAAATCTTTGACTTTTGATGGCAGACTTTGGTACTTTGGCAAATCTGAGCACAGTTTGAGATATTATTAAGATCTCTTCTGAAGCTCAATAGGACATGTATGTGAGATTACTGGTTCCTTTTTCTCAGGAGATCAACCTGAGAAGCAGGAGAATGAAACCTCAAGCTGCCCTCCATGTAACCTTGGAGGATGCAATGAGACAATTGATGAGAAAAGAGTGTAGGTTGTGTTACGTAACGTGGTAGTGGAAGTAGGCTGAAGACGAAGGAGGATGATAATAATGGTCTTTTAATGACAAAACTCTTTAACACTTTACGCACCACACACAAACGATAACCGACCAGGAGTGAGGGAGAACACAGGGTTTAAATACACATGGAACAGATTGGGGAAACAAGGCACAGCTGGGGCAAATGAACTGATAACGACAGGTAAACAGGTGAATTAACTAAACAGTAACGAGGAGCGGAAAAATGGAAACAGGACTGAACCAAATACACAAAGAACGGGGGAAACACAGGACACACATGTAGTTTTGGCATGAGTTGCTGATCTAGACAGGTGGTGCTGGGGAGGAGGAGGGACAGAAAACAGGACAGGAATAAATAAGGTTGCATGGGTAGAGATCGATTGGCTTGGATAAAAACAGCAACAATTAGCTACCTGGAAGAGTTTCATGCATTCAAATCCATGATTTATCTGTCCTATTGGTTATTTTGTTTTGTATCATCTGTGTTGATGTTGTTATATCAGTAAGACTATATTTGGCCTTTCACAGTTTATTTCGTGATGTCTGATGATTTCTTAATGATGGCACATTATTGCATCCTGTGGTCAGATAAGCTCATCTCTCACACCTCATGTTTGTGTAACGTCTTTGCTTTGTCCGTCAATATGGATTACATTATGGCAGTGTTTGTTTAACGCTAACGAGTTTCAGAGTCTTGGTGTGCGGATACACTCTTCGGTCAGAATGATGAAGTCAGGGAAAGGTCACCGGGATTAAAGGTTCAAGGGTGGGGTCAGATCAGCATAACGGGAGCCATTCAGGGTCGCTCCCTGTGGGAATTGGTCATGGTCCGCTAAGTCTTTTGTGCCCTGCATGGACGCAGTAATGCACTAAAGCTGTCTGACTGCCCCGACGGAGATGATCTGATAACCCATCTGGCCTGTCAGATGCCCCACTCTTGCCCTCTCGCTTCATTCTTGAGGCGGGTCTTAAAGAAACCCCAAAATGAAAAATCTGTCGTTTACTCATTAATGCTTCAGACCTGCAGGACAGGATATTTTGAAGAATAATGATGCCGTATTTTTGGCATTATGATATCCGTGATGTAGAAAATGCGGATGGAATCATGGAATCCAGTCATAAAAATGGAATTTACTATATAACGTGGAATGACACAGAATGGCATTTTAGATGAATATATTAACACCATTTTTGACAATAAATTTGTATAAATTCAGAAAAATTAAACAGATTTTCTGAAAAGATAAAACATTCCACAAGGCCCTATTATTGTAAAATATTTAATAAATCATTCAATTGATTCGAAAATGTCAAAAATAAAAAATTTCTTAAACTTTTAATAATTTGTTGTTAAATTGCATAAATATAAAGATATTTCAATTAATTAGACATGCTTATAAAAACTTGCCATTAAAACTTAAAAAAAAAAAAAAAAAAAACCTGAAATATTAATAAATTTCATAGGCCCTACATGTTAAAGTGTGTAGTGTCTACATGCTGTCAATCTCCAAAACAGAACAAAAAGCACCATGAAGTATCATAAAAGGTCAATATGACTTCCAAAGCCTCTGAAAATGGCGTTAATTGCTCATGCTACATATGCTCTAATCACTCGTCCCCTGATGCAATCGGTCATGTGACGTGCGAGACCCAGTGGAGTCTGTGTCGTTGATGTGGTGTGTATGTGACCAGACTCGTCCCTCTCTACAGAACAGTGTGTGTGACTGGATTCTGCTTCTGTCTGGATCTGACCAGCTTGAGAAATGTCCCACTTTCCCTGGCGTTCCTGGCGATGTCTGCGGTGTCCCGGTCTCAGAGACACACACACACTGAGAGAGAGCTTTTAGAAGAATCACTTCTGTTTTAAAGCTCAGGTTGCCAGTTAGGTTGTTAAGTGTGTTTCTTGACACATCGACTCATTTCAGTTCATTTCGGTCTCCTCCTTGTCATTGTCAGCTTCTCTCTCCTGAATCTGTGTCAAGGTTACTCTCCGAGTGCCGGAGGACATGCTGTGAGAATACAATTAATATAGTTCTAGTTTTCACGAGGCTCTTCTTAGATCATTAAACATGCTTTCCTTTCGAGAGGGAATTGACTGAAACATTCTGATCAGCAAAACTGTTTCAGCTCCAAAATATACTGGATAACTATTTCTATATTTATAATTAGTTCTTTACAATAGTATTATAATTATTATTCCTGTGAGCAAAGCTGAATGTTCAGCATCATTACTCCAGTCTTCAGTGTCACATGATCCTTCAGAAATCACTCTAATATGATGATCTGATGCTCAAGACACATTTATGACAGCATTTATTTGAAATAGAAATCTTTTGATCAATTTAATGCATCCTTGCTGGATGAAAATATTAATTTCCTTACTGACCCCAAACTTTTGAACGGTAGTGTATGTCACTTAATTTTGAGTAGATATTGTGTATATTGATATTTATATCATATTGATCTGAGGGTACCTTGTTCTCTAAATCTTCATCATCTTCATCTTCATAACAAGCTTGAGTTTCATATGTGAGTTGTGTGTGTGTTGCGCTGATCGTCACATGTATCAGACACACACACACACGAGTGGAGGCAGATCCTTCTCCTTCATCAGTACACACACACACACACGAGTGGAGGCAGATCCTTCTCCTTCATCAGTACACACACACACACACTAGGATAACGCCTTTCATGTTTAACGCATGACTGTTTGTTGCTCAGTGTCTGTTAATTGTCTGGACACGCTGTACAGTAATTGCTCCCCGCGGGTGATTAATGCATGATTAATGTCACACAGATCTGCTATACCCACAGGCGTCCGGCAGTCAGCCTCTCGCTCCTCTGCCCGTCTTTTCTCTGTTCGTTTCTGTGTGTTTGATGATTAAAATAATCCATCAACATTGAAAAGCAACTTTTATGGAATGTAAGTAATAGAGTATTACATGCTAAAGCATTAAACGCCATTTAGTAACTCGTTTCACACGGTTGTACCTCAAATCATGTGACTTGTTGTGTGAGATATGACTTTTGGCATTTTGGACAATAAATACCACAATTTTACATTTAAAGGCCTCGCAATTCCTTCTATCATATTTCTATCATATATCATATCTATCGTAGCTGTTTGCTGCAGAACGTCTAAAAATTGAAATGTAAGTGAACTGGCAAACAGCAGATCATTATTGGTAATGGGTTAATGATAATTATACTTTTCTAATAGAGTCAATTAATCGTGAATCTCTTTTAAATATCGTTTTCTCTCTGTTGTTACACTCTTTACACCGCAGCACACAGTTTGAGTGATGAAATAGTACAGAAGGTTTAGCTACATATTTTATTCATTATTTGTCGGACATCTGTTATTTTCTATGGCGTAACATTTATAATGTATTTATAATATGGAAAGTGATGTCATCATAACTGCAGGCCTCACATGCTCTGCCTCTGACCACATGAGCATTACATCATATGTATTTCCCCCGCAGATCTCACCAAAGTCATATTTGGGTCTGGACTGAAAACTTTCTCTTCCATAGCGCTCATATATCAGTCCTCCTGGGGTTTATGATGGAAGCTTTGAGAAGATTTTTGACTGTACAGTCAGTGAGTGGACCCACAAAGCATTCGGATGATTAAGTCAGACTCAGGGTCCATTTACACAACACCCTTTTAGACTTAAAATAGGAATATTTTTATGCGTTTTCACTGTTCATTTACACGACAGCGGCGTTTTGAGGGATGAAAACTCAAACTTTTGAAAATGGGCTTCAAAGTGCAAGTTTTTGAAAGCGATACCGTTATGGTCTTTGTGTAAACTACAAAATCGTGAATTTGTGCATATTAAATGTTCAATCTATTGGTGCGTACTGTTTCTTTACAAAGTTTAGTTACACTTTATTTTAAGGTGTCATTGTTACAGTGTAATTATATATTTAAGTTCTGAGTAATATTAAGCAACTACATGCACTTACTATAGGGTCAGGGTTTGGTTGAGGGTTAGTTGCATGTAATTATGCATAATTTATTGTTATTACTATGGTAAGTACATGTAACATATGAAACAAGGACACTGTAAAATAAAGTGTTACCCAAAGTTTCTTTACAAATATCTGTGAGAACGTTGTCGTCTGTACACGAAAAACGCGAAGGAAAAAAATGTCTGTTTTTAGTAAATCGTTGTCGTGTAAACGTAACTTTAAAAATGTAGTGCATTTCGTTACATTAGATGACAGAATATCCAACCAAGTTGCATTTAAATTAAAGAGATGTATGAAAAACTTTTTAAGCAAAAAAAAAGTGAAATGATAAAACAATAAATATATTGTTCAAAATAAAGACGGAAAGAAATGTGACAGTGCTTGTGACACATTACTGGATCCGATTAATAAAGTGATTCTCTGCTAGGAACTTAAAGTCCCCCTGTAGTCGATCATTTTATCCCTTAAAACTCATCTTTAATCACCAAAATGACATATTTAAAAGTTTTTTCCTTGAAAATAAAATTCTTCACTCCTTAAAATAGCTTGAATGTAACTTGACACCCTTGCCTCATTTAGTATGCGTGGTTCTATGAATATGCAAATGAGCCCCGCCTCCACTCACTCCCTCAGCTCAGAGATCCACTGGTTGACGATCACACGTTGATCTGATTGGTTACAAGGTCGTTTGTGACGTCAGAAACACCAGCGATTTCAAACCGTGTTTTTGAGACTGTCTTTGGTTCACTGCAGATTTAAGGAGAAAATACTCAGCAATGCTGTCGACTTATGAACTTACTCATGGTGTGTCTTAAAGCATATTAACAACACAGCAGAAGTGATGAGGAAAAGGGAAGTGCCTGTGTTATCTTCTCACCCGCTGTTCCTGCCTCACAGACACGTCGTCGGCGTCAGAAGACGAGGGGTCGCTGCGCCGGCAGGGGCGGATCTGCTCCTCGTCCCCGTACCAGGCGCACCCGAGCGTGGAGCACTGGTTCAACCGGGTCATCCAGGGCTCGTCCACCTCCTCGTCCGCCTCCTCCACCTCATCACACCCCGGAGGAAGAGCCCACCACTCCAACGCCACCTCTGCTTCAGCGGCCACCGTGCTGGCCGACCTCATGGCTCACACACAGCTGGGTCAGTACTGAACACACTCACACACAGCTGGGTCAGTACTGAACACACACTCACACACAGCTGGGTCAGTACTGAACACACTCACACACAGCTGGGTCAGTACTGAACACACCTCACACACAGCTGGGTCAGACACACACTCACACACAGCTGGGTCAGTACTGAACACACACTCACACACAGCTGGGTCAGTACTGAACACACACTCAAACACAGCTGGGTCAGTACTGAACACACACTTACACACAGCTGGGTCAGTGCTGAACACACACTCACACACAGCTGGGTCAGTACTGAACACACACTCACACACAGCTGGGTCAGTACTGAACACACACTCACACAAAGCTGGGTCAGTACTGAACACACTCACACACAGCTGGGTCAGTACTGAACACACACTCACACACAGCTGGGTCAGTACTGAACACACTCACACACAGCTGGGTCAGTACTGAACACACCTCACACACAGCTGGGTCAGTACTGAACACACACTCAAACACAGCTGGGTTAGTACTGAACACACACTCACACACAGCTGGGTCAGTGCTGAACACACACTCACACACAGCTGGGTCAGTACTGAACACACACTCATGGCTCACACACAGCTGGGTCAGTGCTGAACACACACTCACACACAGCTGGGTCAGTACTGAACACAAACTCACACACAGCTGGGTCAGTACTGAACACACACTCACACACAGCTGGGTCAGTACTGAACACACACTCACACACAGCTGGGTCAGTACTGAACACACCTCACACACAGCTGGGTCAGTACTGAACACACCTCACACACAGCTGGGTCAGTACTGAACACACACTCAAACACAGCTGGGTCAGTACTGAACACACACTCACACACAGCTGGGTCAGTGCTGAACACACACTCACACACAGCTGGGTCAGTACTGAACACACACTCATGGCTCACACACAGCTGGGTCAGTGCTGAACACACACTCACACACAGCTGGGTCAGTACTGAACACAAACTCACACACAGCTGGGTCAGTACTGAACACACACTCACACACAGCTGGGTCAGTACTGAACACACACTCACACACAGCTGGGTCAGTACTGAACACACCTCACACACAGCTGGGTCAGTACTGAACACACACTCACACACAGCTGGGTCAGTACTGAACACACCTCACACACAGCTGGGTCAGTACTGAACACACCTCACACACAGCTGGGTCAGTACTGAACACACCTCACACACAGCTGGGTCAGTACTGAACACACCTCACACACAGCTGGGTCAGTACTGAACACACCTCACACACAGCTGGGTCAGTACTGAACACACCTCACACACAGCTGGGTCAGTACTGAACACACCTCACACACAGCTGGGTCAGTACTGAACACACACTCACACACAGCTGGGTCAGTACTGAACACACTCACACACAGCTGGGTCAGTACTGAACACACCTCACACACAGCTGGGTCAGTACTGAACACACACTCACACACAGCTGGGTCAGTACTGAACACACCTCACACACAGCTGGGTCAGTACTGAACACACACTCACACACAGCTGGGTAGGTACCGAACACACACTCACACACAGCTGGGTCAGTACTGAACACACCTCACACACAGCTGGGTCAGTACTGAACACACACTCACACACAGCTGGGTCAGTACTGAACACACCTCACACACAGCTGGGTCAGTACTGAACACACCTCACACACAGCTGGGTCAGTACTGAACACACCTCACACACAGCTGGGTCAGTACTGAACACACACTCACACACAGCTGGGTCAGTACTGAACACACCTCACACACAGCTGGGTCAGTACTGAACACACACTCACACACAGCTGGGTCAGTACTGAACACACTCACACACAGCTGGGTCAGTACTGAACACACCTCACACACAGCTGGGTCAGTACTGAACACACACTCACACACAGCTGGGTCAGTACTGAACACACACTCACACACAGCTGGGTCAGTACTGAACACACCTCACACACAGCTGGGTCAGTACTGAACACACACTCACACACAGCTGGGTAGGTACCGAACACACACTCACACACAGCTGGGTCAGTACTGAACACACCTCACACACAGCTGGGTCAGTACTGAACACACACTCACACACAGCTGGGTCAGTACTGAACACACCTCACACACAGCTGGGTCAGTACTGAACACACCTCACACACAGCTGGGTCAGTACTGAACACACCTCACACACAGCTGGGTCAGTACTGAACACACCTCACACACAGCTGGGTCAGTACTGAACACACACTCACACACAGCTGGGTCAGTACTGAACACACCTCACACACAGCTGGGTCAGTACTGAACACACACTCACACACAGCTGGGTCAGTACTGAACACACACTCACACACAGCTGGGTCAGTACTGAACACACTCACACACAGCTGGGTCAGTACTGAACACACCTCACACACAGCTGGGTCAGTACTGAACACACCTCACACACAGCTGGGTCAGTACTGAACACACCTCACACACAGCTGGGTCAGTACTGAACACACACTCACACACAGCTGGGTAAGTACCGAACACACACTCACACACAGCTGGGTCAGTACTGAACACACCTCACACACAGCTGGGTCAGTACTGAACACACCTCACACACAGCTGGGTCAGTACTGAACACACCTCACACACAGCTGGGTCAGTACTGAACACACACTCACACACAGCTGGGTAAGTACCGAACACACACTCACACACAGCTGGGTCAGTACTGAACACACCTCACACACAGCTGGGTCAGTACTGAACACACCTCACACACAGCTGGGTCAGTACTGAACACACCTCACACACAGCTGGGTCAGTACTGAACACACTCACACACAGCTGGGTCAGTACTGAACACACCTCACACACAGCTGGGTCAGTACTGAACACACACTCACACACAGCTGGGTCAGTACTGAACACACCTCACACACAGCTGGGTCAGTACTGAACACACACTCACACACAGCTGGGTCAGTACTGAACACACCTCACACACAGCTGGGTCAGTACTGAACACACTCACACACAGCTGGGTCAGTACTGAACACACACTCACACACAGCTGGGTCAGTACTGAACACACACTCACACACAGCTGGGTCAGTACTGAACACACTCACACACACAGCTGGGTCAGTACTGAACACACACTCACACACAGCTGGGTCAGTACTGAACACACTCACACACAGCTGGGTCAGTACTGAACACACCCTCACACACAGCTGGGTCAGTACTGAACACACTCACACACAGCTGGGTCAGTACTGAACACACACTCACACACAGCTGGGTCAGTACAGAACACACCTCACACACAGCTGGGTCAGTACTGAACACACTCACACACAGCTGGGTCAGTACTGAACACACACTCACACACAGCTGGGTCAGTACTGAACACACTCACACACAGCTGGGTCAGTACTGAACACACCTCACACACAGCTGGGTCAGACACACACTCACACACAGCTGGGTCAGTACTGAACACACCTCACACACAGCTGGGTCAGTACTGAACACACACTCACACACAGCTGGGTCAGTACTGAACACACACTCACACACAGCTGGGTCAGTACTGAACACACCTCACACACAGCTGGGTCAGTACTGAACACACACTCACACACAGCTGGGTCAGTACTGAACACACACTCACACACAGCTGGGTCAGTGCTGAACACACACTCACACACAGCTGGGTCAGTGCTGAACACACACTCACACACAGCTGGGTCAGTACTGAACACACACTCACACACAGCTGGGTCAGTACTGAACACACCTCACACACAGCTGGGTCAGTACTGAACACACACTCACACACAGCTGGGTAAGTACCGAACACACACTCACACACAGCTGGGTCAGTACCGAACACACCTCACACACAGCTGGGTCAGTACTGAACACACACTCACACACAGCTGGGTCAGTACTGAACACACACTCACACACAGCTGGGTCAGTACTGAACACACCTCACACACAGCTGGGTCAGTACTGAACACACCTCACACACAGCTGGGTCAGTACTGAACACACACTCACACACAGCTGGGTCAGTACTGAACACACACTCACACACAGCTGGGTCAGTACTGAACACACACTCACACACAGCTGGGTCAGTACTGAACACACACTCACACACAGCTGGGTAAGTACTGAACAAACCTCACACACAGCTGGGTCAGGACTGAACACACCTCACACACAGCTGGGTCAGTACTGAACACACACTCACACACAGCTGGGTCAGTACTGAACACACCTCACACACAGCTGGGTCAGGACTGAACACACCTCACACACAGCTGGGTCAGTACTGAACACACCTCACACACAGCTGGGTCAGTACTGAACACACCTCACACACAGCTGGGTCAGTACTGAACACACCTCACACACAGCTGGGTCAGTACTGAACACACACTCACACACAGCTGGGTCAGTACTGAACACACCTCACACACAGCTGGGTCAGTACTGAACACACACTCACACACAGCTGGGTCAGTACTGAACACACCTCACACACAGCTGGGTCAGTACTGAACACACACTCACACACAGCTGGGTCAGTACTGAACACACCTCACACAGAGCTGGGTCAGTACTGAACACACACTCACACACAGCTGGGTCAGTACTGAACACACCTCACACACAGCTGGGTCAGTACTGAACACACACTCATGGCTCACACACAGCTGGGTCAGTACTGAACACATACTCACACACAGCTGGGTCAGTACTGAACACACACTCACACACAGCTGGGTCAGTACTGAACACACACTCACACACAGCTGGGTCAGTACTGAACACACCTCACACACAGCTGGGTCAGTACTGAACACACCTCACACACAGCTGGGTCAGTACTGAACACACACTCAAACACAGCTGGGTCAGTACTGAACACACACTCACACACA